GGGTGGGGGCTGGCTGGTTTGCCCTGAAGGGTGTCCTGGATCAGGGTGGGGGTCCCCACTGGGGTGCCTGGCCAGCCTGGATGAGGGGATGATGGCTGTTTGCAGCTGGTCACACACCCTTCAGGGTGGGGGTCCCCACTGGGGTGCCTGGCCAGTCTGGGTGAGGGGCTGAGGGCTGCTTTCAGGCTGGCGGTTGTTGACTGAAGCTCCCAACCGCTCCTTTTTTTTCTCTTTTTTTTATTTTATTCTGGGCCAGCTTTAGCTCTGGCTCTAGCTCTGAGGCTTCGTATCTGGTTTGTTTGCCGTTCTATAATCGAAACAATGTATAACTTCAGCTCTGAGATCCCGGCAGGCTGAAAGCTGGTTTCTAGGGTTTTGTTTAGCTTCTTATTTGCAACATAGTACATAGTTGCTTAGAGTTGCAACTCAGAGGCCGGCAAGTGAGGCGGGGAACGTTGGAGTCTGCAGTCACTGAAGCAAGGAAGCCTCATGTTCGCTTCCAGCTGCCTGGCTGCCGGCCGCCATCTTGGCTGACAGTTAATTTGCATAAGGATATGCTGATTAGCCAATGGGAAGGGTAGCGGTCGTACGCTAATTACCATGTTTCTCTTTTATTAGTGTAGATTAGATCAAGTCTCCTCCTTCAGGTCAGACCAAAGGCAGTGTGGCATGATGGTTCAAAGTATGGATTCTATTGCCTGTGCTCAAATCTTGGTTCTACCACTTAAATTTTACATCTCTTCCTATGTAAAATGGGAATAAGAATAATTTTAATTCCCGAGAGTATAAATAGGTATTTTAAAAATGATGCCTATTATAGAACAGTATATAATATTATCTCATTTTTATTAATAAAACTAACGTAATGTCAATGATAGGCAAACATTTGTGGGTTTTAACAAACTTATCCCTTCAAATGGAAATGAAATTCAACAGATGTCGTAAGAATTGGGACCAAACTTTGTAGGTTCCCGAACTACTTCCGTGGGTCCCCTCCATCCTCCTCGGCCTCTATTGCAGGAGTAGGACTGCTCTGGTGGAGTCTGCAGTACCTGCACCCCACCAGTCCTGCTATGGGTCCCATGACCACCCACCCATCTGCTCTCCCACTCTCCCCAATTCTCCAAGAGTCAAAATCTCTCCAAGAAATCTCCACACCCTCTCTAATTAAAATAATACTTACATGTTTTTCAACATAAGAAAGAATAATTATAATGACAATTGTAGCCTCAGCTTTCTTGAACTACTTCAGACTACTTTGTCTTCTCCTTTCTCTGAACTCAGTTTATTGTTTATAGTAATACAGTTTAGATGACTTAGAAATTGCTAACTGGCTGCTTAGTTCTCAAAAAATTGGAAAGTTCTAGCAAAAGGGAATGGGAGGTGGGGAAAGCCAAACTGGGGCACACACCTTCCAATATCCCACAGTCCTCACCACTTCCTACTCAGTACAACTTCACATATTTGCCTTCCTACCCGATCATCCCAGACATTCAAAGTGTGTAACCCCTGGTGTCTCCGTTTCACATGTTTTATAATTTTAATCTCTCCACAAGAGTATGAACTCCTTGAGGAAGAATATGTGTCTCATTTCTTTTGTATCTCTCAATGTTGAGACACAAAATAAATGTTCAATATTTGGTGACTAAGTAGTACCAAAATTTATTTATGTAAAATGTCTGGTTACTTGTTCATACTTCCTATGTAACCTTACTTACACAACCATACAATCTAACACCTTAATTATTGTTTAATAAGATTCCTGTGCTATGTTCCATAATTGCTATTTTAGCATTATATTAATACAAACCAGATAAAGCTACAAAAATCATTTTATTCCCTGAATCAATTCCCAATTCTGGATACCAAGTGGAAGAATTTGAAAAGAAGTCTAGTATTTGTTAAAAGCCAATAAACAGACCTATTCTATAACCCTCTGTCTGCATCTCTGTTAATAATCTGGTATTTAAATTTCTTCTCATCTACCTCTTCTATTAGACTGTGAGCTCTTGGTCCTTGGTCTCCTCTCCCTAACACAATGCCTTCTGACCCTCAAAAAATGCACGAAGCAAGTAATCTCTACAAAAAAGAGCACCATGCTAGGCACAAGTGGCTGGCAAGGGGCTGGGAGATACCACTAAAATGCTCAGAAACAATATAAATAGGGCAGTTATATAACAGTGCAAGTTAATAACATTAAATGATAAACTAAACAGTACAAAACTGTTTCCTAATATAGTATTGTATTATATAAGTGCTTGTTTATTTTGGTTACCTGCCTCATAAGAGATTTTTTTTTTTTTTACCTGTTTTTAAATCATCTTTCAAGAGTATCTATTAAGGGCACAGACTCTTTGAGTTAAAGTAAACAAATTCAATTAAAGTAAGGTTAAAATTACCTCATGAGGGGACACTGGTCTGGTTACATTGAAGCTTTCTTCAACATCAGGGAGCCCAACATAGATATTAAGATATCTGGAAAGCAAATTATTCCATTACCAATTATAGTTCTCCAAAGAACATATAAACAAACAAAAAAAAAGACAGTTTCCTCCTAAATACAGGATTATGCTTTGACAATTGTTTATCTTGCTAAGGATGACAAATTAAAAATTATAATTGGAGAATTCTTAAAGTGATAGTACATATAACTTTACAAAGGAGGGAAAGTACTCTCTAACAGAATATCTTTTTAAAAAAAACAGTGTAGCCCAGCCAGCTCAGTGGTTGAATGTCGAACTATGAATCAGGAAATCATGGTTCAATTCCTGTCAGGGCACATGCCCAGGTTGCGGGCTCAATCCCCACTGTGGGGTGTGCAGGAGGAAGCCAATTAATTATTCTCTCTCATCACTGATGTTTCTATCTCTCTCTCCCTTTCCCTTCCTCTCTGAAATCAATAAAAATATTTAAAAAAATAAAAATAGTGTAAATCTCTACAAAAATACTAGAAACATAGCTGCCTTAAAATGTTACTTAATGAAAAAAGCAAAGTACAAAAGAGTATCTATAGTATGCTATGATTCATATAAGAAAAAAGAGGATATAAGGGGAAAAATATATATGCGCATTTGTGCTAAAGAAATCAAAGGAACTTCTATAAAACAACCAATCAGAATTCCTCAAAAGTGTCAAGGTCATGAAAGACCAAGAACGATTAAGGAGCTGTCAGTCTGGAGGAGAGTGAAGAGGCATGACAATTAAACATACTGTGGGGTCCTGAATTGAACCCTGAACCAGAAAAAGGACATTAGTGAGAAAACTTTAAATAAGATCTATAGATTTATTGCTAATATAGTATCAATGCTAATTTCCTGGTTTTGCTAATTGTGCTAGATAATATGTTAATAGTAGCAGAAGCTGGTTGAAGAATAAAATGGGAACATTGTACTATATCTGTAATTTTTATTTAAGTCTAAAATTGTTTTTAAAAATTTAAAACCCTAATAGTTTTAGTAACTTCTTAATCATAATGCTATGTGTTATACTAGTAATTAGTTTACCAATTAAAAATTGAACACTTGATAATTAACTAATTAAACAGATTAAAAAGAGTTTTGATAGCAACTACATTCACTTTTTAAAATGTTAGGCATTATCAAAAGTATCAAAAGAGTAATTGATAGTTGGATTTCTTACTTTAGGTACCACATGGGGTCAGCATCACTTGTAACCTTTTCATTGGCTTTCATGATTTTCTTTATCTGCAGTGGAAAGCGTAGCATTAGGAAAGACTCTTGCTTCCGATTAATTCTTAGCTGTGTGTAGTTTTAAGATCTGATGCTTACCTCTACATTAATAAAATAGTTGAATGAATCTATATGCTGTTTTACAAGGCCTTTCACCTAAATAGAAAAGGGGAAACAGTAGATTAGCAACAAAAGTAGGTTAGCAGATAATATAATAGACTCTAATCATAGGTAATCATCAAATTTGTATTAAAACCAAAGTGATGGGAAAAATTTATGAATTTTGTTTAGTAAAACTTTACATTTATATGTCTTCATTCCATTTCTTCTCCATCTTATTAGAATATCCTCAAATTTTCCTCCTTGAGAAGCAACCTGACTTTAGAAAATCAAGATACAAGTATTTGAATATACCTAATAACTCCACACAAGCTAATAAATAAGGTAGAATTTTCTCTGCATATTTTGAATTTTCAAAAAAATATAGCAATTGAGCATAATATCATCTCTTCCCCCTCAAACAATGCCCATTTACTTCTTGTCTTTCTCCTACCTGGGCAATTTTATGATTTTCACACATCAAACTGGTCTTTCATATCACTTTATAGAAGAATGAGGGAGGAAAAATAAGAATCTCTATTAAGAAAATACTTGTATTTGATACTGAAAGCAGGTGAAACTCAACAAACCTAAGATCAGATACCAGCTAGCAGTGCCTTCCTTTTATTTCAGAAGTCAGTAATAACTGTACACAGATAGTGCTGTGTACTGCTACAGAAAATAGTGAAATAATAAACACAGACTCCAAAATCTTATGATTTAAAAGGACTGTATATGTTCATTTTCTTTATGTTAATCTTCAAACACAATTAGTTCAACACTTCTAGAACTTTCTTGACAGATAGTCATAGAACTTTTGTTTTAATTATACTTCCTTATTGGGCATCTCACTGGCTTACAAAACAACCATCCCATATTTTAAAGTAGTCCTGATTGTTGGGGGGAAAAATTCAACCTTATAATGATGAGGTCTACCTTCCTCGTTTCCACCCCTTGGACTTAATAGTCTCTTCTGATCTGCCACGCTACTTCCTCTCTAAAATTAGATTACCACTCCCCCAATGAGCAGAAATACTGCCTTATAATTCCTTGTATTTCCCAAACCTAGCAATATACACAATTGTATATAGTAAAATAATGGTGATAAAAATTTAATCTTAACAAAAGGCTTATTTCTTTACTTTTCATCAGAAAATTAATTATTACTAAAGATTCATTACCTTTAAAAATGCTGGAAGCAGCCTCCATTTTTCCTGTGAATCAAAATAGTAAGAGTGTCAGGATGTGTGCCGGCAACCACATATTTTTATGTTATTTTAATGTACCATAAATGACTCACTTTATCACAATAAGTGAAAGAAAGTAAATCAAAATGAAACCAACAATTTTTACATAGTCATCACTTTTATGGAAATCACATAGGTATGTATGTGCATATGTGCATGCAAATATATGTATAAACACATACGTATACAACAGATTTCTTAAACAGAATCTAATTTAGTCTCTTCTTGATGACTCAAGATTCCAAGTACTTTGTTTTATTCTCATGACACTTCCTGAGTAAGTGGGTCTGCCAGTTTGAGAAAGGGAAAGCAAGTTTCCGAGGGTCTGGTGGGGAAGCCAGGTCTCTCGAGTTCTTTCTCTCTCCCACTTTCTGTCAACTAGTGCATGGTCAGAGCTCATCTCAGGGCGGTAGAAGGACGGCACACACGGTGTTCACCTTCTACATTAAACAGCTGCAAACTGCTACACTTCTTTTGTCCTGAGGCCTGTTATTTATACTTTGCTGAGGTTTTAAGTAGCCCACCATGATACGGCTCTTTTCATGAATGGCATCTAATCTGCTAATGGGAAATCTAACAAATGGGTAGAACTGAGTCTAAAGTAAGAATACGCTGTTTCTGAATAAGGGCCTAAGAATCACGTTAGACCTGGCAGCAACTGCAAAACTTTTGACCTTCACTCTGACATGAGAAGCATTGGAAGGTTCTGAACAAAAGTGTGACATGATGATGTGACTCATTTTGACTGGATCGGTTAAAATAATAGGTCGAACTGCTGACCTGAGGAAAGACAAGTTAGAAGCAGGGAGATCATTTAAAAGTCCACTGCACGATTCCGGTCAAGGGCATGTACCTTGGTTGCGGGCACATCCCCAGTAGGGGGTGTGCAGGAGGCAGCTGATTGATGTTTCTCTCTCATCGATGTTTCTAACTCTCTATCCCTCTCCCTTCCTCTCTGTAAAAAAAATCAATAAAATATATTTTTTGAAAAAGATATTTGGTCTCATAGCTACTAGATATAGATATGAGACTATAGAAATATAATTAACCCTTGAGACAATTTTTATTTCGTCCAAAAGTAGTTCTTTTTTCACTTTTTCTGAGAAGTCCACTGCAATACTCCAGGCTAACAGTAGAAATAGTGAGAAATTGTTAGCTAGGAGACTCAATGTGAAGTTCAAGCCTACAGGCCTTGATAGATTAGATAGAGACTCTGAGAGAAAGAGAAGTCAAGATTGATACCATAGAGTTGCCATTTATGGAGATGAGGAAGCAGGGATGCTGTCAAGAGCAGCAGGTTTCAAGTGTGGAGGGGCTATTAGGAGGTTGGTTGGGGGCATGCTTAGTTTAAGATATCCACTAGACACTGAGGTGGAGATGTCAAATAGACAACAAATATGAGTCTGGAACTTGGGAAGAGAGTGGCCTGGAGATACACATTAGGAAGAGATCAGCAAACAGATGGAAATTATAGTCACATAATGGATGAGCCTGCCTAAGGGGTGTAGATGGAGAACATCAAGAACCTTCCAATATTTAGAAGGCAGATCTAGCAAAGGAGACTATGAAGAAGGAAATTAAGCCAAGGAAGGAGGCAACCAGGAGAAAGTAAAAACATTTTTCAAGAAAAAAAGGAGGGGGGTGTGGGGCATATGAGAGATCTCTGTACCTTCCTCTCAATTTCACTGCGAACCTAAAAAGCTCTAAATAAAATTGAGTCTTAAAAAAAAAAAAGAGGGAATCAGGCAAAACTAATCTATATGATAGAAATCAAAGGACGGGGGTAGAGACAGACTGAAAAGGGAACTTTCTGAAGTGATGGAAATATTCTCTATTTTGTATTGGGTGGTGATTACTTGGGAATCCATAACTGTCAACACTAATGATCAGAACACTCAGTACTCCTGTATTTTATTGCATATACATCCACAGAGGAATGAGAGAAAGATCAAAAGGAACTAAATGAGAAGAACAGAAATATCCCAGGGGAAGCAGGTAGTGAAGGTAGTGAGGGAGAGAGAGGCTGGGAAAGCTAACAGTGGCCAGACTGAGGAAGGCCTTATAAACATCGTAAACACTAGATTTTACCCTAAGAGCAATGGGAAGAGACCGAAGAAGCTTAACCAACAGAGCAGCATGATCATATCTGTGTGTTTAAATTGATGGCTGTTGCCACCAAGCAGAGAGACAGGCCTGAGAGAAGTTAAGAGCCTGGGAAGCAAGAGATGACAGTGGTTCAGACTTGGAGAACCACGGGAATGACGTTTCAGATTTAAGTCTTAGTAGGCAGGACCCTGAAGATGGGATGGATGGTGGATGGGGTGCTGGGGGGGGGGGGGGGGGAGTCAGACGACTCCAACTGCCGTTTTAGTTCCTCGGCAATGAAAGATGAGGACTCAGGAGTCAAGACTGCAAGAGTCCAAATTCCAGATCAGCCCCTCACCAGCCTTCTGACGTTGGGTTACTTAAACCTCTCTGGGCCTCAAAAACCTTCACTGGCATGGGGTGAGCACAGTACTTATTTCAGAGAATTAAATAACCATGCATGCTGGGTTGACAGAGCCCGGCACATAGGAAGTGCTCAGTAAATGCTGGCTCTTCCTACCAACTCTTCAAGAGCGAAAATCCAGTATTGCCTGGTTAACGACCAGCAGTGTTTCCTGCAGGCTCTCACTGAACGGATCTGAGGTGCTGATAATCATCATCCGATCTCATTCATCAGCCAAATGATTATAAAGAGGTTTTTATAATCCGAGCGTTCGCCCATCATGCCACTTTCCTGCTTAAACCCTCTGGCAGCATCTCATTGCTCCTTCAGGTAAGAAGTCTGAGAAAACTTCTCATAACCCGGAGCTGTGCCCATCCTGCATCTTCGTATCTCCTCTCCTCTCCTCCACTCTAGTGCTTGTTTCAGTTCTTCAAAGCCTTTCAGGTGTCCGATTCTCTCCGCCCAAAATCACCCCACTATCTTTCCAAACCTCATTTCTCTGGATTTCCCCACACCACACCATGGACGATTCTGACGCCTGGAGGGGTTATATCTACACTAATAAAAGAGAACCATGCAAATTGATCATCACTCCGCTACACCCACCAGCCAATCAGGATGAATATGCAAATTAACCCAACAAAGATGGCGGGTTAATTTGCATACACAGGAGCAGAGCAAAGACAGAAGGCTCCAGCCCCATGGAAGACTGAAGAGGACTGAAGACTGAAGAGGTTTGGCTTCTCCGCTGCGGCTGGACCAAAGGCCTGGGCCCCGGGTGCCGGCGGAAAACGGGTGCTGGCAGCCAGGGGAAGGAAGGCCTATTGCACGAATCTTCGTGCAATGGGCTTCTAAAATACATATATATATATATATATATATATAGCCTTTCTAGAAAATAAAATGATGTCAACAGCTGAACTTCATGAGGCAGCTGCCACTCCAGGGCAGTTAACCTTCATTTCTGATCATATAACGAAAGCTACGGGGCTACTTCCCAAGAAACACCCAGGCGAAATTCGGAGTGAATTTTCGGGGCGTTTAAAATACTCCTGCCGTCCGACTTTGAATTCCAGGTTGAAAGGGCAAGATTCCTTGTACTGGCATGGAGACGATTTGGTTTAACCACCACAGGCAGCTGTGGGACCTCACGAAAGGGGCCTATACTCCCTGGGCCTCAGTGTCCTCTGTAAGCCCGCGAAAATGGAGTATGTCCCCCACCGGTGGGCGCCAGGACCAATCTTTCCCACACACACGAGCGCTGGAAAGGGCCCAGCGCGGGAGCTGAACGCGAGAGCAGAGCCCGAGCGGCGCGGCCCCGCAAGGGAGCGAAGACGGACTCGGGAAGCACGACCCCCAGTGCAGAGAAGTGAGCATGCGCGAAGTGCTGAGCATCCGCAGAAGCTACGACCCGCCCCGACCCTCCAGTGCTCTCAGGGTACCGCCTCCTGGGGACGCCTCCCGGACCCTTCCGTTCCGCGCGTGCCCGGCCTTTACCTCTACAGTCGGTATTGGCGCAGCTAGCTGCTCCGCGGTCAGGTTTCCAAATTCCTCCGCAAGCACGTCCATGCTGCTCACGGCGAAGGAAGAAGCCAACAGGAGCCCCACACGCCAGACTCCGCCGGCTGAAGCAAGCAGCTGCACCCGTAGGGAGCGGTGCGCGTGGCCTAAACCGTCCCCGCCGCGCAGGTTGATGGAAGGCGCGACAGAAAGGTTCCGCCTGCTCCCAGCCTGAACCTGAGGTGGCACCCGGATGTGGCTGAGGCGAAGCTGGGAAACTGCGCCCCCCAGTGTCGCTCGGAGGTCTCGCCGGGTAATCCTAAACCCCACAGGACTGGTTCATTGTCAGTTAGTTATCCAGTAATTGAGACCAATAGAGCATATTGGTTGTAATTTTAAAAATAATTCAGAGAAAGGGGCAAACGGATAATTTGCGAAACGTGAGCCACCGAGGCAGGGAACTTACGTAATTTAATCCACAACGACACGTTGTATATTATGGAAAAATAGGGAATTTACCAAATGCCTAGTAGTAGGGGAGGGGATTGGTTAAAAAAATATAATGGGTGCATGTGATAGAATATTATACAACTATTAAAATGACCATAAAATGAGGAGGTATTAACTCACTTAAGAATAGAGAACAACAGAACGGTCATTAAGACTGTTAAATTGTAAAAGGTCTGGATATAAGGTCCAGGAATAAATATCAGCACATAGGGAACTTGAGTATGAAAAGGTAACATTTTAAATCAGTAGGGGGAAAATGAGTTATCTAATAAATGATGTTGGAACAGTTGATTAGCCATTTAGAAAAAAAAGTAAATCCTATATAGATGAAATGTTTAAATGTTAACAAAACATTAGAAGAAAATGCACGTGAATATATTCATAACATTGTGGTGATGAGGGCCTTCGAGGGTGGCAACAGTCAGAAATTATAAAGGGAAAATATTCATAGATTTGGCAATATAATTCTAATCGTATTTTCATGATTCTATTAAAAACTTTAAGTTTTCTGAACAGATTTTTTAAAATCACTATGAATAAGAGTTGTGTGGTTTTTTTTAAAACAAACATAAGTTGATAAAAGACAAAGGCTTGGTTTCCCTAATTTAAAATGAACTCATGCTCTGGCCAAGTGTCCCAGTTGGTTGGAGCATCATTCCATGCACAACCAGCTCTTAGGGAAGGCAGCTGATGATGTTTCTCTCTCACATCAATATTCTCTCTGTCTCTCTCTTCCTCTCCCTCTCTCTCCCCCTCCCTTCCTCTCTCCCTTTCCCTCGCCCTCTCCCTCTTTCCTCTCTAAAATCAATAAAAACATATCCTTGGGTGAGGATCAAAAAAAAAATGAACTCATGCAAATCAATAGGAAAAAAAATATCCCACTGGGAAAAACAAAGCCAAAGATACCAACAGTTGTTTAATGTGTGAGGAGTTCCCTTTTAGGAAGGTGCAAAAGTTCTGGAGATGGGCGATGGCTATGGTTGCACCACCATGTGAATATACTTCCAGCCACTGAACTGTACACTTAACATGGTAAGTTTTATGTATGTTTTACTACAGTAAATTACAAAAATTTGTTAAATATGCATTTGCCATTTTCTCATGAATGTATAGGCCTCACACCAGGCTAATTTCTGAATTAGTGACTTCAAGTAAATTTTAATGCCTGTATCTTCTAAGTATGGGGCCGATTGACATCTGAAAGAATCAGCTTCTGCTCTTGAGGATCTTACATTTCACTTAGAGACAGATACACTTTTCTGTCATCCTTGTGAATTCGTAGAGAGCAACCTATGTGGAATCCAGTCTGGAAGGGACTGTAAAGTGATTTCTTGGTAGCAGAGATGTCAAGGTTGGCTCAGATGTGTTGGCTTTCCCTTGGCTTCCACCATTAGCCCGCCTCACCTGGAGAGCTTGTTAAAACAACCTCGGCTTTCTGACTTGGTAGGTTTGGTCTCTGGCCTACAGATAGGCATTTCTAATCAGTTCCCAGGTGATCACACTTTGAGAATCACTCTCTAATGTAAGACGTATCAATACCATATCCTCTGTTCACGTCTAGCTCTCCTTCAGGCAGGGGGCTTCTGGGACAGGGGCCGTCTTGTCTGTCTTTGTATTCCCGTGTTCTAACCCACTGTGTGTTCCTCAAGAAATTTGTGTGGAAACAGTAATTTGAAAAAAAAAACATGCAGTGAATGATTTAAAAATTCAATACTAAATTTCACATTTTTTTAAATCCTAATTTTCTTTTTCTCTTGAAAAGAGGAGGCTGTGGTGGACATGGTCTCAGAGTCCTTCATGGCAATAGTTGGCTGACACTGAGCAGTGTTAGCCCTTAGACCACAGCTACCATAATCCTTTATGACAGCGGTTCTCAACCTGTGGGTCGCGACCCCTTTGGCGGTCGAACGACCCTTTCACAGGGGTCGCCTAAGACCATTGGAAAACACATATATAATTACATATTGTTTTTGTGATTAATCACTATGCTTTAATTATGTTCAATTTGTAACAATGAAAATACATCCTGCATATCAGATATTTACATGACGATTCATAACAGTAACAAAATTACAGTTATGAAGTAGCAACGAAAATAATTGTATGGTTGGGGGTCACCACAACATGAGGAACTGTATTAAAGGGTCTCGGCATTAGGAAGGTTGAGAACCACTGCTTTATGACATCTGGCTGGGCCCCGAGGTATTGGCATTGGTGCCCCCAGAGGAAATCCATGACTTCTTTCTGATCTCCTAAGGGGAAAAAAAAACCCAGAAAAATCAGAAACCAAAAAGCCAGGAACAGTCTCCTGACTTCTGTGTCTTCTGCTGCCACATCCATTTCCTGAGGTATTGGTACAAAATGAGTGGTGGCTTGAATAGAGGGCTGAGCAATTCGGGAAAGGGAAATGCCAAGGGAAAATGGTTGATATCTTGGACTACTCCATCCCTGATGTATCAAGTATTTGGGTAGCCAGGTGAGAAAGTGACCAATGACGTCAGGGGGAAGAGCAGCGACATTGGTTAAAAGAGAATAAAGGAAAGGGGAAAACGGAGGTGTCCAGGCTGGGCCCTGAGACATTGGAGAGAGCGTCCGTTTCCTGAGTGTTTACTCTTGGCCAGACATTGGAACCCCACTCTGCGTGCACGCTCTGACTTAATGATGGACCCCTGGGGGATAAGTAGGATGATCCCTACTTGACAGGTGAGGAGACTAATGCTCATAGGGGTTAAGAAACTTGCCAAGCAGAGTAGGAATTTATCTGATGTCAGAGCCTGTGCTTTTAGCCATGCTATCACAATACCTCCCTGAAAGGAGGAGGTGGGAGACGTTTCAAGCAGAGAAAAGCAGCCTGAGCAATGGCGGGGGCCTTTCGATGACGGAATGCCGCATCCTGGTGATGGAGTGTGGTTCTCCCATAGAGCTGTCAAGGGCCGTGTTTATAGGTGACGCTAGAAAAAATCCACTGGGGCTGAACCATTAGTGGCTTTTATGCCACGTTAAAATTAGACCTTCTGAGAGGCTGCAACAGGCAGAGACTAGAAACAAAAGAAAAAAATTACCCTCTCTTCAAAAACTCTGTGCCAGGGGTCCTCAAACTACGGCCCGCGGGCCACATGCAAATACAAATATTGTATTTGTTCCCATTTTGTTTTTTTACTTCAAAATAAGATATGTGCAGTGTGCATAGGAATTTGCTCATAGTTTTTTTTTAAACTATAGTCCGGCCCTCCAACGGTCTGAGGGACAGTGAACTGGCCCGCTGTTTAAAAAGTTTGAGGACCCCTGCTCTGTGCATTCAGGCTGGGGAAAATCTGTATGGACTTGATTTCTAGCCGAATAAATTCATAATAGAACTAGAGAAGACCAGAACAATGTTGGAGAACGGCTGAGGGCTCTTCAGTGTGAAAGGCAAGGGCAGAGGGGGAGTCCTTGAAGTTGGTCATTTCACAGGCAGCAAGGTGAGGAGGAATACGATCGGAAGTCTCTACGGCAAGCAGAGAACATTCTGCATTTTGAGTAAGACTGGGTGGTCCAAACACCTCCAGCTGCCGGCCATACCCACAGGCCTTGCTCCAAAAGCCTTGCTCTGCCTCCTGTGACGTTGTCATCCTGCCCAAAGCAGTAGGGCCAGGAATCTGCCAAAGACAGTCCCGTAAGGGAGCTGAGGTGGTTTGTCATGAGGTCCCCTACCCGTTGAGGGGCAGTGGGACAGGGGCTGTCCATACTGAATAGTGGCAGGTAGACCCAATCACATTCTCTCTCCTGGGACTTCTTCATGAAGATGAACCAAAAGAGAGAGCAGCCCTGACCGGTTTGGCTGAGTGGATAGAGCGTCGGCCTGCGGACTGAGAGGTCCCAGGTTCAATTCTGGTCAAGGGCATGTACCTTGGTTGCGGGCACATCCCCAGTAGGTGGTGTGCAGGAGGCAGCTGATCGATGTTTCTCTCTCATCGGTGTTTCTAACTCTCTATCCCTCTCCCTTCCTCTCTGTAAAAAATCAATAAAATATATTAAAAAACAAAAACAAAAAACAAAAGAGAGGGCAGCAACAGAAAGCAGAAGCAGAGAAGTAAATATCAAGTCAGCATTTGGTAGCAACACGACAATAAGAAGTAAATTTTCTGCCCTAGCTGGTTTGGCTCAGTGGATAGAGCATTGGCCCACAGACTGAAGGGTCCTGGGTTCGATTCTGGTCAAGGGCACATACCTGGGTTGCAGGCTCGATCCGAGGCCCTGGTCAGGGAGTGTGCTAGAGGCAACCAATCGATGGGCCCCTCTCACATTGATATTTCTCTCTGTCTCTCTCCCTCCCACTCTCTCTAAATATCAATGGAAAAATATTCATGGGTGAGGATTAACAACAGCAAAAAAAGAAAAGAAATTTTCCTTTGGTGACCTAAGGAAACCAATGTAGCAAATAGTTAAGAGCATGCATTCCAGGGGTCAACTCTTTGAGTTCAAATATACTTAACAGCTCTGTGACCTTGGATGACTGCCTCAGCCTCTCTGAGTCTCATTTTGCACAAATGGAAAAATGAGAGAGCCTGCCTATTATGCAGATACATAAGACCATTTATATCAAGTGCTTAGGGTAGTCCTTGCCATATGGTAAGTGCTTGGTGGCTGTTATTATTTTATTCTATTCTGAATGGGAAAAGTTATATTCAGGTTCTCCACCAAGTCTGCCAGCGCAGCTGTTGGGACAGATTCCTGGGTTTCCTTTCTTTTTCCTAAAGCCTAGGTCCCTTCCTTTGAAACCTGAAAGAGGCTAACATAGTAAGCTTAGAAATGAAAAGATAAAGCTTCACTTCAAAAACAGAGAACAGGAGGGAACAAGTGGATAATACAAAGCTACTTCTCAAACGTTCGATTAAATCATGGAGAATAAAGTCACGTTTGATTCATGAAAGGAAGTCAGAA